AAAAAAAAAAAAAAAAAAAAAAACTAAAGTCCCATTCACACCTGCTCAATGCAACAGAAGGCTCCTTTTCCAGAGAGAAGGCCGGAGGCAGCCAGATATGTAGAAATGATAGCATGGGATGTAGAATCCCAGGCTCTTGACTACAAAAAGCCAAACTAGTCTCTTACGGTTTTCGCAGACACTCTGCCTCTTAAATATCCTGGGGGGGACCTGGTCTTCTTGCCTGGGGAAGCACTGTCCTCAGCTGTGCTCCCTGCATCTCTCACCTGCTCCCCTCCCACCACTTCCTGTTCATCTCTCAAAGCAACAGTCGGATGGATCTCTTTCAAACACCATCAAAGCCACATCACTGAGGCTTTCTGTTTACAGATCTCCAGTGGCTACCCATCAAATTTAGAACACATCTCACACTTTCTCCCTGTGCTCAGGGGGCTATGGGACGGTCCTGGGCTTGCCTATCATCCCACAAGCCATTTCCTTCCCATACCCTGCCCCCTATGCCCACCACAGGCACATTTCCGCTCCTTAGAGTGTGAATTCTTCTTACCTCCAGACCTTTGCCCTGGCTGTTCCCTCCCCAGGAAAACTTCCTCCAGCTGTTCTTCTATTGGTTTGAGCTTAAATGCTGTGCTGGTCTTAACTGTTTGCTTATGCTGGGCTTGTGTTGGATTACTCCACTAGTGCAGGGCCACCTGTCTTCCTTCCCTCTTGTCCCTGGAGTTGAGTACAGCCCCACCTGGCTGCTCTGCACTGGCCAGATGAGGAGCTGAGTGGTAAATGTATGGAGTCCTCTAAGAGAGGTTGGCTTTGGTGACTGGGGGCAGCAGTGGACAGACACAAGTGGTCTGAGGAAGCCCACAAAATTGCTTACAGCACCCCTTAGCCTGGTCTCAGAGGGTCCAGTTCTTTTAAGATGCATGGCATGGCCTATAATTCCCCATAAATGCTTCCCAGCACCCACAGGAAGTTTGCCAGTGTGGGAAGGAGCTGTAAGAGCCACAAAGAAGATACTGACACTGTCCCTCACATGCAGTGTGCAGTGAGGCGCTAAGGCCCACAGAAATGGCTCTTCCTCCAGCTGCTTGAGCTCAGCTCTGAGCCAAGTGGAGAAGCCCGCACGAGAGCACACACCAGCAAAGTTGCAGTCTCCTAGGTGGTGCTTTTCTGCACAGAACTTGTCTGCATTTCCAATTTTCCTAGAGCAAGTGGGGATGACTTTCCTTATTTTTAGCTTGTATAGTTTTAAAAATATTTTTAACTATACAACTAATATGGGAATACATTTTCTCCATAAAAGTTTTAATATCACATGTAAGGCTAAAAACCTCTTTTGAGCTGAGCAACTGTTAAAGACAGCAAATTAGATAGAAATAGTATAGGCAGTCAGATGGGGCCAGACCCTCAAAGGAGCCAGTGCAGAAGACAGTCTACACTACAACTGTGGGGGAGACAGACACACCCACTTAGGGCCAGGCCTCAATACAAAAGATAAAATGAATGTGCCCACATATTTCCCTAAGGATAAACAACAGTGATTGATATTCTAAATAGGTATGGAACACTTTGGAAAAACCAGAGAGAGCCACTGCCATGCCCCCTCCAGGAAAAGCTCCTGCCCTGTTTTGTGCCCACTTGCTATGTGAGTTGCTTCCCCATTTCACTCCCATTTAATCAATTTTACCTGAGCAATTATGCTCGTAATCTTATTGGTTGACCATAATTTTTATTCCCCTCTCATGCCCACCTTGTGATTTCCCATTTTTCCTCATCTCAGACCCACCTTACCTCATGGTTTTGCTCTATAAAAATCCCTAGAAAAGCCAGGGTCCTCAGCAACCCATTTGGGACCCCTTCTGTCTCTCTCAGACAGAAGCCCTCTTTCTCCAGTAAATATATTCTGCTCTTAACCTCTGTTGTTCCTAGAATTCATTCTTCAATCTTAGAGAAGATGAACTCGTACCAAATATCTAGCAGGTTGGGAGCTTCCTTCCCCTATATCAAAATGACTACGGTCAATAGCATGACCAAGAGTATGATTGGCACCTGTCTATTTTTATAACCATGTGTAGCCATAGAATATATACAGGAAATAGTATCACACTGCTCCTAAGTATTACTTTCATAATTGGAGAAATGTATTCATAGTCTCATTCAACCAATATCTGTATATCTAAAAAGCACCAACAAAAATAATTTTAAAAACCAAATATCTATTGAGAGCCTGGATCACAGAAGTCTGTCCCAAGCTCAGAAAATTCAGCAGTAAAGATGGAAAAGTCTCTGACCTCACGGAACTTACACGTTAGTGGGGTTAGAAAGGACAGTCAATAAAAAATAATTCCCAAGTGTTATATAGGTGTTATATGACGATGAGTGCTATGGAGAAAAATAACCTAAGGATCAGAAGGGCTGCAGAGGAACATCCACTGGGAAATTAGGAGGCAGGACAGACTTCCTGGGAGGAGCCCCGAGATGGAAACTGGGCCTGCACGGTCTTCTTGTCAAGCAGAACCACAGAAGTCTATCCTGGGGTAGGGGGAGTCCCCAATCAGTTCAATGATGCAGGCCAGGGGAGGCAGTGTAGGTCTCTCTTTGTACCCCATTTAAAGCCAGTGTGAGGCCCAACACTGTCCCCTGCTGGCTCCACAATACCAGGGCTCTCCCTGGGTAAATTCTCCCCGGGAAAAAAGAGGTTCCCAAGAAAGCTGAGTACTCAGGCAAAGGGTACACGAGGTGACTTAACCCGAGAGCAAAGCTGAACCACAGAATCTCTGCTGAGTCACATAGTTAACCTTATAACTATGTAAGTTATATGGCACCTCAGTCTGCCACCCATGCTGAGCCCTCACAGAGACTCCAGGACCTCCACTTACAACAAAAGCTGGCATTTAGTGTGCACCCAATCCATACAAGTACCTTGTAGAATATCTCAGTGAATCACCAAATGCTGGGAAGCATGGATGCTGCCCACGTTACATAGACAAAGAAAGCTAACTCCCTGTATTAATTTCTCACCGTTGCACAAAACAATCCAAGTCTATTCTCATACAGTTCTATATGCCAGAAATCCCAGCTCCATGCTGCTGAGTAGCTAGCAGCTGCTTCCCACCCCTGCATAGGCAGCCTAGGGCAGGGGAAACAGCCTTTGACCAGCAGCCCAGGTCCTGGCAGCTGGGCCTCCTATGGGTGAGCCCTAAGACCTCAGGCAAGTCACACATCTGCTTCCTGGGCCCTGAAAAGTCTGTCCATCAGGGTGGGGTCATGTTGCTCATTGCTTTGTCTTCAGAGTCTCTTTGAACAACTGTTATGGTTGATACATGGTGTCAACTTGAATCTAGAAGCTTAACTAAGTGACTCAGCAGTTGTACATCCTGGGGTGCAAAGGACATGCCCTTACTGCTCTAGGATGTTGTTCATTGTGCCAACTTGAGAAGTTTATAAGGTTAACTATGTGACTCAGCTGGGAGCCAGGGTCCTTACTTTGCATTCATCCTGAGCCTGTGCCAGAGAAAGGCAGGGAGATGGTGTGGGTGTAGAGGATCACCCCTCCCCCAAAGGTGGGTAGGCTGCATATAAAAAAAGAGAGATAAGGAAGGATTGATCGCTGGTTCTTCCAAGGAGCTCCAGTCTTCACATTAGGCTTGGTCATCTTCTGTGCTCTTGCTGCCTTTGCTATCCTCTGCCACCTTGAAGTGTTGCCACTGTGCCCTGCCATCCTGACTTGGAGCCAGCTGATTATGGACTGAAACCTCCACAAATTGTAAGCTAAATAAACCTTTCCTTCCTTAATTTTGGGCATTGGGTATTTTGTCTTAGCAACAAGAGAAAAGTAACCAAGACAACAACTTTCATGGCAGATTCACCGGGGAAGTGCCATGTGCCCATTTTAGGCTCAGGGAGGCTACCTGCTATACTCTGGGTCACAAAGGCTTAGAAGGTGAGGCCAGAACTGAACTTCAGGCTCTTTGTACTTGCCCAGGTCTTTCTCATTGGGCGGGGACTCTTGAGAAAATATCAGCCAGAAAGAAAGCAGAAGGATGTTCCAGAGTAAACAAGGGCGAGGTGCCATCTCCCTGGGGTTGGACTCAAGGCCGCGACGTGAGTCACACTGGCAGGCTGGCACCTCAGGAAGAGCTTCTCAGGCTGGGCACAGACTGGGTGTTATGTCTCAGGAAGGGTTCCCCTCTGTGGTACAGGGGCGGAGTGGAGAGAAGGAAGAGGGCCCAAACCAGGCCTCCTGAGATGCTACCCACCCCCTCCCAGGCAGGTGGAGAGCCTGCCCCAGGCTGGAGACTCTCAGGGTGCTCAGAAATAGCAGGCATGTTTCCTGAAGCAGACCTGCATTGCTACCGTACCTTGACTGTGTCCAGAGGGTGGCCGACGATGACACTGGCTGTACCTGTAGGTCAAAGAAGAGTACCTGGTCACCCAGAGCCTGGACACCTGCTTTGTACCAGCTGAATCTTGGAACAGTGCAGAGGGCCCAGATACCTGCATTTACCTATTCGGTCAGTAATCAGTTGCTAGTAGTGGCTTCCACCATGCTCAGCACTAGCCCAGTTACCAGTGAAAGTAGAGAAAATAGAGTCAAACTAGGGCTGTAACTCAAGGAGCAACCCCCAAGAAGAGAAGTAAGGTGCTGAAATAACAGGAAGTCTACATGCAAAAGAAAGGGTTAGTCCCCTACTCCGGACCATGAACAAAAATTACCCCAAGTAGATCAAAGACTTAAACAGAAGAGCTAAAACTATATTAACTGTTAGCCTAAGACATAGTGAAAAAGCTTTGTGACTTGGGATTTGCAAAGCACTGTTAAGTATGACACCCAAAGCATAAAAGCGTAAGAAAAAATAGATGAACCACCTTCATAAAAATAAAAACTTTTGTGCATCATATAACACTCTAAAGAAAGTGAAGACAACCACAGAACGGTAGAAAATATTTGCAAATCATATATTTCACAAGAGCTTACCATCCAGAGCATGTGCAGAACACTTACAATTAAAAGTGTTTAAAAAGACAAATAAATTGAACAGATATTTCTCTAATGAAGCCATATAAATGGAATAAAAGCACATTAACAGATGCTCAGTATCTTAATCTCTAGGGAAATGCAATCAAAATCACTGTAAGATGCCACTTTGCATTCACTAGGATGGTTATAATAAAAAAGGGAAAATAGCAAGTGTTGGCAAGGACCATGGCAGACCTTGGGGTTAGATGGCCTGGGTTATTTTGTTTGTTTGTTTGTTTGTTTGTTTGTTTGGTTTTGTGGTTTTTCTCTGGTACCGGGAACCGAACTCACGACCTTGCGCTTGCCAGGCAGGCGCTTTGCCGCTGAGCTAAATCCCCAGCCCCAGATGGCCTGGGTTAGAATCCCTGTGCCCAGGTACATGCATGGTCTCAGGCAAGCCACTGAATTTCTCTGTACTGATCTCGTGTGTAATGTGAGGATGTAACAGTACATATCTCATTAGGGTTGTTATAATAATAATAAAATATATACATAAAGAAACACAAGAGATCACATATTGCCTGAGTAAATCAGCAGGAAACATTCAGGGAAGCTCACAGACTGAGCCACCTGCAGACCCACAGCAGTTGGTCTAATATGTGAGGGACAGCAGTTGGAAGGCCTCCTCTGTCTACCCGCTCTGCATTTAACAACATCCCTTTTAAGATAATCCTTAGATGGGTCAAAAGAATTTTCTTACATTAAGCAAACATCCCTCAAATGTCTGCCTTCCCCATACTTAAGGGAGCGGGTATTATGGAGGACATAGGAAGCTCAGGAGGATGGTGAAGGGACTAATGGGCCCAATAGCTCCAGACGGAGGTTCCTTGGAGGAAGGGATTGGCTGACGGCTGACAGCGGACCGCTGACCACAGACAGCCGCTGATGCGGGACGCGCTACTCCCCGCTCCCCTGAGCCCCTGGCGCCAGGTCCCTGCTGCCTCCAGTCGGGGCGCCCCCTATTGCCAGCTTGATCTCCAGTCCTGCTCCTCACCACCCCGAGCCTGGGATTGAGAGCCAAGCACCCACCTACACCCAAGCTCCCGCGCGAGCCACGTCCCCAAATTCAGGAGCGCACCAGGTCAACGGTGTGTGCGCACCCGGGAGGCCCCATTGGCTGCCGGCTCTGAAGGGCTGTTTAATCATTACTGGATGAAGGTCCTCAGGTCCTAAAGTTGAAGCAAATCAGCTCAGGGTGAATCAGTGCGAAGCTCGAGGAGGTTAGCCCCGGGAGAGAGCAGGGGACTGCAAGCCCACCGAGAGCACTTGTAGGAGACCCGGCGCGGGTTGGAAGCGCTTGCTCAGTGTGAAACGTCCTGACTTAGCGTGCAAACTCCGCTGGTGCTCGGCACTCGCGGTGCCCGCTCGGCGGGACCTTCCTCACCTCCGATCCAGCCCGCCACGAAGTCTTCCAGCTGGAAGCTGCTCATGGCTGGTGCCGCAGGGCGCCTCGCCGTCCGAGGCGGGGCGGTGCCCGCTCAGGGTCTGCAGAGCATTGCCCACCAGTCTCGCCGCGCTGCGGAAAGTGGGAAACTCTTCGCGCACTGCTGGTCCTAGTCCAAAGCCAGAGTCCCAGTCCGCCGCGCTCACCTCTGCAAGTACCCGCGGCCTCTGACTTCATGCCCCTAGTGGACCTTAAAGGCACCGCACTCAGGCAGAACGCGGGTGGGTTGGGCAGGTCCCTGTCCAAAGAGGAAAGGGCATCCAAAGGAATTCCCTCATGCGTGTTGGAAAGCATGTCGCTCAGAAGCCAGCTTCAAGCTAGGTCTAGATGAATACTAGCTCTTGATGTCCATCATTTTTTTGCATGTAAATCATACCCCAGTTCCTGTACCTGAGTTCTCTCCTTGTATAACTCTATGAGGTTGGTAGTATAATCTCATAGTACAGATGAGGAAAGTTATTGTATATCTAAAGTATATAACGTTTGTGTATTTCATACATCGATTTTAATATTTTAGAAAACTGGCTCAAATCCGGAGGTGAAAGTTGCCATATCCGAGCTAAGGGCTTAGCTGACTAAGCACAGAGTTGAGCCTATTCCCAAAGGCCTGGATCTCACAAAGAAGAGCCCGGGGTGAAGTGCAGCTGGCAAAAGCTACAGAAGCCCCTGCCATGATTCTTTGGGACAGCTATCCATCTTCCTCAGGGAAGTAAGCGCCAACGCTGTTCTCTCAGCTGAGCTAAACCCTTTTTTAACCCATCCCAACACACACACACCCCATACCTGAGTGCTCTAGTGAAGCACACGGGTACCAAACTGGAGCATGTTGATATAAAATAACAAATTCTGTCCTAAAGGACGCAAGAACATAGTTTATTCGGGGCCAACTATGAATGAACATGGCCTGGGAACACCAATTCCAGTTACTCTGGACGACATGTTTGCCCGTGGACGAGTCTGCATGGGTTTTACAATCACAGAACAAAAGAAAGTTATGTCAGGACATTCACCAGTTACATCAGTGGGAGCATCAGGTAGGCAGATGGTATGATCATGTCTAAAATGTCCCTCAAATTCTAATGTGTGTGGAAGGTGATTGGCTCGTGCAGGGGCTTAGCTGACTTCTATAGCTTCTATAGCTGACTGTAGGAGGTGGAGCCTAGTTGGTGGTGGGTCACTGCAGAAGTGAACTGGAAAGGTATATCACCCTCCCTTGGCTTTCTGCTTCCTGGCCACCATGCTGTGGGCAGCTTTCCTCCACCAGGCCCTTCCACCTTGCTCTTTCTGCCTTGGAGCCAGCTGACTATGGACTGAGTCTCTGAAAACCACTAGACAAAATACACCTCTCCTCCTTGAAGTCGTGGATGTCAGGTATTTTGTCTCAGCCTTGAGGAAAGTAACTAAGACAGTAGGCAAGAGCAAATCTATTGATTTAGAAGCTATCATAGCATTCTGCAGAGGCTGGAGATGTGGTAAGCTTAGCTCTATGTTCCAAGAGTTTTATGCAGTAGTCATAAGGACGACTGAGTTAAGTCAGATGCTGAAATTGATAAAAAAAAAAAAAAGGCTATTAAAAATTACTAAAAACAGCCCAAGATGACCCCGACTCTTGATGTACAACATTCCCTCTCTCTATAAGCAGGGTACTCTGGTTTGTTTATAGGTTCTTCAATATAGATGTGGCTTCTACAGGGAACTTCAGTTCACAAACCTTCCTTGGGACTATTTATAAGCCAACGTCTGGGCTGGGGGCTCTGCACCCATGCTTCCTAGTCTACCTGTGAGCAGGCACCGAGGGTCAGTTTTGCGTCTTCATTAGGCAGGGCCACAGTTTGAGGTGATTCAATCAAACACGAATCTAGGTGTGGTTTTGACAATACTTTGTAAATGTGACTAACACCTGTAATCAACTTATTTAAGAAAAGGAGATTATCCTGGATCATCCTAGTAGGCTTTATCTAGTCAGCTGAAAAGCCTAGAGAAGTAAACCTTCCACTCATGGACTGCAGCTGAATTTTCAGCCTACTGGCCAGCCCTTCAGATCCCAACTGAGTCAGATCCTACAAATGCACACATATCCAGCTGGGTCTGTTTCTCTGGTAGAATTCTAATACATCCTGTTACCCTAAAGTAAAGTGAGGTTCAGAGAGGTTAAAAGAGATCCTATCCAGCCGAGGAGTGTCATCCCACTGCCACATCTGGGACAACCTAGATGGCTCTTGGCTTTTCTGATGCTTCCCCCAACACTTCTCTTTCTGCGCCCCCATCCATCCTTGCTGTCCAGGCACCCATCCTGGGATAACACTTGTGGAGCGATCATGTGTCCCTGTGCTATACCAACTATGTGGTTCCAGCTGTGGCTCCCTCTCCCTCAGCCCAAACCCAGGCAATGATATCTTTTTGCCCACCCCAGCCATGCTCCTCTCAGTGCCCTGTGCGGACAGCACCTTGTGGTCCAGGCTTATGTCTTTCAGGTACAGCTCGCTAGGGGCCCAGGCTCCTGCCAGGCACTGGCCCAGCCTATACTGCCCACCCCAGGCCAGCAAGAAGGGAGAGGGATGGTCCTCTCCCCTTCACACTTTCTCTAGGGGCAGACTGCACTTGGCCAAATCCTCAGGTGATGGCCATGCTCACAGGGGGACTTGCACTGGCCACCTTTGGGGGATTTTGTTCCAGTGGGAGCATCCTGACCTCCCCTCCCTTTAAGGGGCCCTACTTAATTATTTAAAGAAAGTGATTCTGTGTGATTTCTAGCAGGGACTCAGCCATGGGTCCCAGCCAAGACACCCCAAGGCTTACAAGAATGATGAGTTTAGTCTGGAGGAAGCAGGCTCTGCCAGCACATCCAGGTCCCTTCTTCCAGGTTAACATGCAGGAGCAGCCCGCCAGACCTAGTTTTTCCAAAGCTAGATGGAGTCTGCTCACTGACGCTTGATCCTAAAAGGGCCTGCTGAGAAGTAGGGGGTTAGAGACAGGGGGGCCCCTTGCAGCCCCTGCTGCCTTCCGCCCTGGGTACACAGTGTATCTGTGTCCAGGTGTGAGAGTCAGAAGAAGCCCTTGGAGGGAAGAGACTCGGATGGAGCACAGAGCTGGCTGAGGGGATCCTGCAAAATCCTGTGCAGGGGTGGGAAGTCATACTCAGCCCTTCAGCTCTGCTCTTGCAGCACACAGTGACCCATTTAATCTTGAGGCAGAGATGCCACCGGCACGGATCCCCAATCTATGTGCCACCTAAGGTCCCCAAAGAGTGATCCTTCGGCCAAGTAGAGAGCCAGCCAGTTCCCAAGCCCACTTTCGCAGGACCACCTAAGTATTGCCAGGCAGGTTGCCATCCCCTCAGGCCTGTGTCAGCACCCATGAGGGAAGCTGAGGCCCTGTGTTGGCAGGCAGAGTTCCTGGCAGCCGTAGGTGGCTTTCTCAGCCCAGAAGTTTGCTGCTTCAACTGCTAATGAGCTGGAGCACAGTGAAAGGAGTGGGCTCATTTTCAGAATGAACCACTGTGCTCTCTTCTGGAACGGGCACCACAAATCTGCCCATGACACACATCACCCAAGGAGGACTGGAGCCATAAGTTCTGGGGCAGCCATGGGTTGCGCTCAGAGAGTTCCAGACCACTTGGCTGTGGGACCCAGCAGAATGCTGGCTCCTGGGAAGGATCGGGGCCATTGATTGTGCCTGCCTTCCCCACTTTGGAGCAGCATGGATGGCGCTACCGTTCACACCTGTTCACACCTGCATTCCACCCTCTGGACAGCAGGCAGCCGTGACCATCACACAAGGAAGAAAGCAAGGCACAAAGAGATCCACTCCCAGGTTTGCTAGGGTCAGACAGAAATGGTATGTCCCATGGTCTTGCTCCCTCAGCAGTTCCCTATAGGGGGCCTATGTGACATTATCCCCCACAGAGGCGCCCTACAGATGGAAAGAGCTGGCATTCTTCGATGACTAGGGTCCAATTCCCATTTCTCACTGGCCCTTTCCATGTCCAATTTAATGGCCAATGCTTATTAATGGCAGCAGAATTTCCTTGCGTGCCAAGTACATACTATTCTCCACTTGGGGGAAAATCTTCGTCGTGGAGGGACAGCTTGTCTGGGATGTTCTCTCTCGCTAACTCCCCAAAGCGGTCCTACTTAATTCTTCCTCCTCCTAGAGAAATGCACCTCCACCTAGCCAGTGTGAGACCAACCCGGCTGCATCTTTCCTTTCTCCCTCTCTAGGTCTCATCTCCTCAGTGACCCTAACACTCAGACTCCTTTACACAGCCCATACCATGCCCATGTCACTGCCTGCCTAGATCACAGTGGGCAGGGGCCTGGGTCCCTCCGCTCCAGTCCTGTGTCCACCTCGTTGTTGCTGCCACTGAGCTTCTGAAACCTGGAACCTGCTCTGGCCTTCCTCTGTGCAGTGACCTCCAGGGACTCCCCCTGGACTGAGCATAAAGTCCAATTCTACCATGAAGGCCTGGTGGCCTTTCCTCTCCTCAGCCTCCCCTCAAGCTGGAGCCCCAGCCGGCAGTGTGGCTCCATACCCCACATTCTTTGCTGGACGGGAGACTGCATACCCTAGTCCCTTCGGGGATGCCCTCCCCTCTTTCCTCCTGGCTAACCCCTGTGCCCTACTCCTTTGAGATTCTGCCCAGCTGTCACCTTCTCCTGATAGGCTTTCCTTAAAGCACCCTACCCCATCCCACACTGGGTCTACTGGCTCCCAACTGTGTTCCAGGATGTGGTGGGCATATCCACGTTCCTGCTGCCACACTATGGCTTATTGTTTGGCTCCCCCTCCCAACCATAAGGCCACAAGAGCAGGATACTGCTTTATTCTCTGGGCCTGCAGGGCCAGGCACAGGCCTAGTGCCCAGCTGGAACTCATTCAGCTGGATGTTCAGCAGGGAGGCTGCAGATCAGTGTCGAAAGGCCCTCGAATGTACGGATGTTTTGTGTCTCAGGGTTTCCCACTGATCACTCCCTCTGCTAGCAGCTCCTCTCCTTGCCCTTCTCTAAGGCCAACCTCTTCCTCCTTTGGGTCTCAGCTAAGTCACTCACTGCACAGGGAGGCCCCTGCCGACCATCAGTGGAGATCAAGGCCTCTCTTGTGACATCCACATTTCTGCCACCAGCTCTCACCATCTCAGTCAGCCTTTGTGCACTGTCCAGTGTCTCCAGGAGGTGGAATCCAGTCAGTGTGTCAGCCACTGCGTCTTTGTGTGTCAAACCACCGTCAGCCACTGCGTCGTTGGGCTCCACCGCAGAGCATGTGGACAGGAACTGCTGATGACTGGGTGTGGCGAGGGACTGCATGGGAACCCTACCCGTGAGCTGTCCTTTGAATGCTTGGCCTGCTGCATGGCTGCTGCATTGGCTGCAGACAGGGGCAGCTCCGAGGCTCCTTCCCAGGTTGAAGGAAAGGGAAAGGACACGCTATGACCTCCAAGTGCTGTGTGAGCGTCTCCTTGGCACTTCTGTGAGGCGCGCCGTGCAGAGCGTGCGGACAGTGTTCAAGCCATCGCCGACTGAGCGTGATCCTTGCAGCAAGCGGCTCCACAGTGAGGGCAGAGGGGCCGGCAGGGGAGCTGCTGCCTACTTGCCTCTGACTTTTGGAAGAGGCAATGATGCCCTGTTAGGTAATGTTCAGATAATGAAATTCTGGGCCACAGATACCAACTGCGAGAGTCTTGTCAGGACTTGCCAGGAGAGGGCGCTGCCACACAACACTTGGGGCTCCTAGGCGGAAAAGCCCTAGTAGCTGATAATTCTGGAAGGTTTCCCGGACGCTTTCCCGACGCAGGCTGGCAGGGAGCCAGCGTGCGTGTGTACTTAGGCAATGAAAGAGATTCTGACACAGGAGTCTCAGAGAGGAGTCTCAGGGAGCAGAGTGAATCTCAGAGAGGCCTGCGCGAGCTGTGCACTGCGAGGGGAGTGCGGCTGAGCCGGTAACCGCCCCACTGTCCCTGCCTTGGCTTCTCAGAGCCTCAGTGTGCCCGCCCTTCCAGCTCTATTAACATCTCCGTAGGGCCGGGGATATAGCTCAATGGCATAAGCACCTGCATGGCAAGGGCAAGGTCCTGAGTTCAATTTCTGGTACCAAAAAAAAATCTCCATGGCTCTCTCAGGCACAGCAAGTCCTCATTCTCACCTGGGAAGAATAAAACTAAGATTAAGCAGTTTCTCCGACTGCTGAGTCACACCTGTCCTTTGACTGTAGGGCCTAAGAGCTGCCTCCCGGCCAAGACGCAGGAGGTGGCAGCCACTTTCCTACAGGCCTTTGCCCCTACTCCCACCCCTCTGCGTAAACATGCTGTTTTCGGCCTACGTTTGCCAGATGAAAACGTACTCTTAGGGCCCCTGAAAGATAGGGCTCAGTGATGAAGAGGAGTTAAAGTCATGGGTGGGTCTCTTCTGTGCATTCTCGAGACAGCTGCAGGGTTCTGGGGTGTGTGTGGTGTGGAGGGGCCTGGTAAATACACTGCGCCTGGTCTTTCGTGTGGGCTTGGGCATGCTACCTTGCCTCCCGGAGCAAGTCTCTTCGCCTGTAAAATGGAGATTGTGTTTAAGGATCATGGACTCGCTCTGTGCACACTGCGTGCTCATTATCTTCTATGACTAGCTCGCAGTGAATGCTCTGTTTGTCTCTTTGTAATGCTCATCCTAGTAAATGCTCAGAAACGAAGCTGCAGCAGTTTCTCCAAGCACCAAAACCAGTGCACTGACCCCAGCCCTGTAGTGATAGTGATATGGTTTATTTAGAAAACCGAACTCCTGGCACCTGTGCTCCTCCGTTGCTCGGGCTAGTCCCTGCTCTTCCGGCTCCCAGCTTAGGGCAGACTACGGGAGGAACAGTCTAGGCTGGAGTGCTGGACCAGGCAGTCATTCCACGGCAGAACCACTTCAGCTGCGGCGGCTCGTTCCTTGTTGGGCAGTTTTTTGAGCTAGGAGAACAATGTGGGGGGAAAGCTGGAGCTGGACGGGTCGCTGCATATGGCGGGGTTGGGTGGCGGAGCTGCTCCCTGTTCCTTCAGGAGAGGGGCCAACCGCAGCCTGCTTAGGTGGGCTGGGGCACAGGAAGCGCCATGTCAGCATATGCAGCTTGGGGCCCTGAGGGAATGGGGTGAGCCTCAGAGGGTGGGTCAGTTCCTCCTGCCGGTTAGGCAGGCAGGGAGGGGTGTCACTTGGTCCGAGGTTGAGGGCCCTGAGGCAGGAGGGACAAAGGGCTGAGGGCTGGACCCCAGCCCAGCTCTAGATGGGGGAAACTGACAGCTATGGGAGCTCACCTCCAGCCACCTTCCGCCTTTGCTGAGAGCTGGGTGCCAGTGCGCAGCCCCCAGCAGCTCCTAGTCTCTCCCAGGCACGGAGGCGGGAGGCCCTGGGTCAGTGCGCAGCTCCTCCTCGGCGCTTCTGTAGTAAGGCACAAATCCTGAGGCACAAAGGCCTTGGGTCCCGGAGACAGGAGCATCCAGAGCACCATCAAGGGAGCTCCCTGCTGAGACCAGTAGCACGGGGCAGCAGGCCAGTAAGTGTGAGGACCTGGAGATGAAGTCGGAGCCTGCAGCAGAAGCCTGGGTCAGAGGGCAATAAGGGGGTCAGCGGGGTACAGGCCCAGGTGCCAGGACGGGCAGTGCCTGTGAGAGCACAGGCAACTTCTGGGAAAGAAGGTGGGGCCCGTGCCAGTTCTGCAGCGGGACGAGCGCTCGAGATGCTGCTAACCTCCGTCCAGAGGGACCCGGTGGGGAGGGCGGGGCTGGCTTTGAACTCCCCTCCCTCACCTCTTCTCCCTCCGTAGCTGCAGGACACGGTGCCCAGCCGCACCGTGCTGGTGGCTATTAGTAAGGTAACGGGGCACAAGTGTGTGGCCAAATCCCAAGCTCGCAACTGCTAGCTCTGTGTCCTCGGCCAAGTTACTTCATCTCCCCGAGGCTCATTTTTTCATCCATAAAATGGGAATAATGTGACCTATCCTGTAGGCTTACAATTAGCACTGAATGAGGGGGACATTCGGGCTCAAGGCCCTGTGATCTTAAGAGTGACACACGGCTCTGAGAGCCCCAGAAGCCCTGGAGGGCTGGGAAAGCAGCCTGTCGGGGTGTGGGCCCCGGGGCAGAGGTCTGGAGCATCTCAGGGGCCTGGTGCTCCTCGGTCTTTCGTGGCCTCCTCAACTCACAGGGTATCCATCCCTGACGGGGGTCTCGCAGAAGCAGTCCTCCTGTGTCTCCCCACCGGAGAGAGCGTCCTGGGAGCCCCAGTGCTGCTGGCTGGGAAGGACCAGGCTGGGGAGAGTGTCTTCCTCGGAGCGATAGTAAGGGAAGAAGCCGCTGGGCGGTGCCGCATCCTCCAGTGGTTCCTGCCTGGCCGTCTGACCTCCTTGGTCCGCGCAAACCTCAGGCTGCAGGGCCGGGAGCCACTGACAGGTGCGGAAGAAAGGCAAGCACCCTGAGGCCACCAGGGCCTTACAGGAGAGGCCGAGGGAGCTGAGCAGCTCCTGGTCAGTTGAACTGGTGTTCTGTGGTCGCTGGGCCCAGGGCCCTGGATCCTCCTCCTCCAGCAGGCTAGGAGGGAATGAGGCCCTGGACTCACCCTCACAGCTCTTCAGGGACATCTGGGAAGAGAGAGTGTCATCTGTGACTGGACCCCAACTTCCTGCAGTCCTGTCTGTGGCAGGTCAGGGGGGCCCTGCGCAGCCCAAACCTGACTGTGCTGCTCTGAAAGCCCAGCCAGGGCTCACAGTGAGGTGAGTCAAGGGCCCGGGGCCCCGCCACCAACACCTGCAGTCTCACCCTACTCCTCCTGCACCAGCCCTCTTCCCAGTGCTCAGCACTGTCACGCTTGGTCCTGCTTTGGAGCCCACACCCACATCTGCTCAAGCCTCAGCTCATTCCAGGCTCCCAGCCTGCCCCCAGGGCGGCCCCATATCACTTCTCCCTCACTGAGATGTTTTTCTTGGTCTGTGGTCTGCTTGCTCTAGGTGTGAAGTAGTCTCATCTCTCTGGTGCCTCCCTGGTCTTTCAGCATGGTGCCTACAGTAGGCACTTGGCTGATAATTATTCAAGAAACAATTGGTCTAATCTATAGATTCTGAGCCCCTTTCACATCCCCATCACTCTGTCCAGCCCAGCCACACAGACTTTCTCTTTGACCTTTCTCATTTGCCAAGTACCCTCTTGCCACAGGGCCTTTGCACATGCTACCAGCCTTTTCTGGAATCTCTTCTCTGTTGTCCTGGGTGATGACTTCCTTGGTGCGTGGCTGAAGGTCACTCCCCTTATTTCACTTGCTTACACAAGGGTGATACCATTTTAATGTTGACTTTCACCACCCTTCTGCCTCTCATTCAGGGGACACACTACTCTGCTATAAACCATTTGTCTGCATGTTGCCTGGTTAATGCTTAGCCCATTGCTCATAAACTCCAGCATAAGGCTCATCAGTTTAGGTCACTCTGTATGCCAAGGGCCTGAAAGAATCTGGGATTACAGTAAGCACACAATGCCGGAAGAAATGAAAGAAGGATGGGAGGGAAGGAAAGAGATAGAAAGAAGGAGAATGCCGAGGAAGCCTTGGCCAAGAGCTGTTTTGCCAGATCCAGGGTCTGTGGTGGGGAGAGGCAAGGAAACAGCGAGGAGTTGCTCCCCAAGCCCAGAAGTCTCATGGAGGTCTGGAGTTTTAGTGGTAAAAATCCAACCTGCTCCCCACAGTGCTTCTCAGAGCCATTCCCAGAGCCCATGTGGGGACCCATTGATACTGGAAGAGTCCTCAAGCCGTCCCAACTTGTGGACTCTGAGCCCTATAGAGGGGCCTGTTGCAGTCTGGTCCTTATTCCTCCAGACTTTGCTGGGGCCTCAGGACCTTGAATCCCCTTCCCTGGCCACATGCCCTTGTGGGCAGTGCTGGCCCCACCTGTCTGCACATAGCCTGACCACAGAGGTCCCCTGTAACCCAAAACCCCGGGTCAGTGCTGGCCCATGGACTGAGCTCCTAAAGGACAGGCACCAGGGCCACTCTGAGCTCCAAGTACCAGTTCAGGGCCATCCTCGCTGAATTTCTGCCATCCCAGTGCTCCATGGAGCTCTGCAGTCCTTTCTGTATGAGGCGATCTTTAGAGTCCCTTGGGAGGACGGACTGTCCTCCCCAACTTCGCTGGCCGAGGAAGCAGGGGGTGGGCTGAATGGCAGCACCTGGCGCTGAGCCCAGGATGGCGCCACTGCAAGGCCTGTGCTCTTCTGAGGCTTGGATGCTGTTGTGTGCCTCTTCTGTGCTTCAAGTCCCAGCCCTGGTACCTGGGAGTGTGACCTTGCTGATTTGGAAACAATATCCTGGCAGGTGTAATCAAGCTAAGATGAGGTCATAGTGGGTTCAGGGAGGCCCTAAATCCTGAGCGGTGCGCCTAGAAGATGGGGGAAGTTTGGACACAGACACAGGGAAAAGGCCGTGTGGCAATTTCTGCGCAGACTGAAGTGACATGGGCCAGAGATTGCCAAAGATTACTAGCCATCGCCAGCAGCCAGGAGGGAGACACAGAATGGATTCTCCCTTGGAGTCTCAGGAAGGAACAGTGCATCCAGCAGGGTGTATCTGGGGGGTGCTGGGGCCCCCCATAATGACCCTCTGCCTCTCTTCAGGTCTCTGCCCTCATGCAGATGAAGAATGCGGAAGTAGGGCTCTTAGCACAAATGGGGGAGTCAAGACTGATGTGGTACAAAGCAAAAGTTTATTTAAAATGCGGCAAATGCAGAGAAAGCAGAAGAGCTATCTTAACAGCAGAGTGAGCTGCAGGATAGAGGGCATCTACTCGGGGTATAATTCTGTGGCCATTTTCAGCACACACCGCCTTGAGTGTCCCGAGTTGAAGTCAGCAGTGTCCCTGAGTCCTGATGCGATTAAGCTTAATCTTCAAACTCAGGCCTGAAGGACAAAGCCTCCCTCGCTGGCCGCCTCCTCCTTCTCTTCTTCCACCCCTTCCCCCTCCCTTCCTGCTCCTCCTGGTCTCCTCTTCATCTGGCAAACCCCTCTCCCTTTTGGGAGAAGATTCCACTAGAGACCTGGTGCCATGCAAGAGAGCCAGATGATTCTGTTACCATGGAGATTCCTACCAAAGCATCCAGCACCTGGGACCATCACATGCCTCTTAATTCAGATTTATCCAAATCTCCCCAAGTGAATCAGGGAAACAAATAGAATTTGAGCATCTTTTGTAATCAGATCAGCTTTTTGTAACTGAGAGCAGTGAGCCTACTGCAGACTTTTGCTGGGACACCTCAGAGTGACCCAGAGTTTCCAGTGGAGGGCGAGGGGACCCAAGGGTCTGTTCCACTAAGGCACAGGAGCTGGAGTGAGTTGTCTACCACTAAACCTCTTCGTGTCCTCAGGGTTGCAGCCAAGAGCTGGCTGTCTGGGCTTGTCAATCGATTTCAGCTGCTTCTCTGGTTCCTGCCATGTTACTTGTGAAGTGACACACTCTTGGAAGGACTGATTACATGTGGAATTCTCTCTTCCTCGCACAGAGGTACAACTGCTGCTCCTGGCCCAGGCCTGGTCTCCTCCTTAGAGGAAGGGGACAGCCCTGTGACACCCCCTAAGGGTCACCTCCCTTCCCACATAGCATCACGAGGTCCTTACTGCAAGCTTTTAAGTCAGGAGTGTGCCGATCCTGTGCCATTTCATAGACTGGGGGAGTTGAGCCTCAGCACCAGGTTGGGAAAAGCTTCAGATCCCTCTCTAGCACTAGGGTTGAAGCAGGACAGCCCCCATGTACCACAGAGGACCTCAACCTTCCCCCAGCTGGTTTCCCTGCAAAGTGTGACCCAGGGGGACTCCCTCACCATCTCGCTACTCCATGCTCACAGATTTCCTTCTAATGCTAGGCCATTTAAGCTGACTTTCCTTTTTTATAGACTTTTAAAGCCACATGGAATTTACTTTTATAAGTGTAGATTAGGCTTCTTTTTTGCATTTTAAATGTTCAGTTGACTCAATAGCATTTACAAATAACTTATTTCTCCCCCAACCACATGATTTGGAATACCACAATAACCACTTTCCAAATTCTTAAGCTATTATAAACTCATCAGTTTCTAGAATCTATTTGCTATCCCTCTCTCTGTCTCTCTTGGTACCGATACCATGTTGCTTTTACCTCTTTAACTTTATATGTATGTAATTCAGCTTGTGTAGTTACCTACCATATTATAGATCAACTTTATTTAGGGCTCATTTACATAAAGCAAAAAGTATCCTCTTCATAAATCTATATGCCCATATAATTAATGTCATTACTTGCAAAGAGGTATTTCTTCCCAGTCCCAAGCAATATAGATCCATTTTTCCTGCTCTAGAATAAGTGGAATAACACAATAGTCTTTGGTGCATACTAACCTTTTAAATTCAGCACTATGTTTTAAGAGTGACCCTTGCTGTGGCATGCTGTTTGCTCTCTTTTATACATGAGTCGTATGCCGTTATGTGGCATAAGTTTGTTTATCCATTCCTCTGTGCAGACAGACTTCAGTTGTTCCCATGAACAATAATGCTGCTATGAATAGTATGCACAAGACTTTGTATGAGTATAGTTTTCATTGCTCCTGGAAAAATAGCTAGGATTTGAGTAGCTTGATCACATAGTAAGTATCTATCTAACTAAGAAACTGCTTAATTTCCAAAATGGATGTACTATTTTTACAGTCCCAATAGCACTGTATAAAGGTTCTGATTTCTTTACACTCTCATCATCACTTTGTAATGTTTGCCATCCTAGCGGCTATACAGTGGTACACCATTGTGATTTTAATTGTTTTTTCCTGATGAGTAAAGAAGTTGAACATCCTTCCCTGTGCATACTGCCAATTTACATAATTTCATTTGTTAAGTGCTCAGATTTCTTGCCCATTTTAATAACTTGTTATAATTAAAATATAATAAACTACATATGTTCAAAATTTAAATTTGATCAGCTTTCACATATTGATACATGCACAAAACTATTACCATATTCAAGATAAACATTTCTAGCAACCCCTAAAATTTCCCCAAGGGCTTTTATAATCCAGCTTCCTTGCCTTCCCATCCCTGGACTACCACTGATCTGCATTCTGTCCCTCTGTATTATTTTACATTTTCTACAATTTTATATAAATGGAGTCAAAATACATATTTTATTTGGTTTCTCTTATTCAGCATGATACCACTGATATTAATCTATGTTGTTGCATGAATCAATAGTTTATTCCTCTTTACTGAGTAGCATGGATATATTACAACATTCATTTTTCTCTAGATGTTTTCAAGATTTATCTTTCTTTTCACCAGTTTAGAATGTGACTGGCATGGTTTTCTTTCACATTATCCTTTTGGGGGCTTAAGAGGCCTCCGTCATTTTACTTCTTTTGCCAAATTTGAGAAGATTTAGATCTTTTTTGTCATGTATTTTTCTCTCTCTATTTCTTCTCTCATTCCAGGACTTATGTGACATGCATGTTATATTTTTGTGTTTGCCCATAGGTCCTTGAGGCCACATTTAATTTTTCTCTTGGTCTTTCTTTTCTGTTCTTGTGATTATATAATTTCTATTAATCTACCTTTAAATGTACAGATATTTCCTCTTGTCATCACCATTCTGCTGTTGAGATCATCCAGTGATATTCTTACTTTAGGAATTTATATTTTTCAGCCTAATATTTCCATTTGGTTATTTTTATAGCTCCTATTCATCTACTGAGAACTGTCTTCTTACTTACTCCAAATGTGCTTTTCTTAGCCTGATGGAGCATATTACAACAGCTTCTTTGAATTTTTGTTTGATAATTCCAACACTTAAGCCACCTTGGGAGTAGCAACTAGTTTTTTTCCCCTTTGAGAATTGACCATATTTTTTAGTTCTTTGCATACTGGGTAATTTTGAATTACCCCAAAGGTTGAGAATGTCATGTTGTTTTAGACTTTGGGTTCTATACATAATCTTCTGGAATACATTGATATTTTTATTTTAGCAAGTAATCAATTTAGTTACATTCAAGCTGCAATTTCTATATTGCCTTCTATATATAGTAGTTCAAATGTGAGTTCAGTTCTCAAAGTCTTGATGCTGATTTAGGTTTGTCTTGAGCATACATTATTTAGCAATTATATTTTAAAAACATATGCACATGGTTTAAATTTCACTTTGGTTTTTGGTGCTTTGTTTTGCTGGTTTGGGTTTGCCCGATTCATGCACAGCTCAAGGGTTAGGCTGAGTCTCATGTACATTTATTCATACAAGAAGGGGCCTGCTTTTCTGGCTGCCTACCTCTCTGGGTTTCTCCCGCATTCTGTGTTCATCAGGATTCTCCTGTCCTAGATCCTTTGATCAGAAAGATAAGAAGATAAGGTTTCTTTCAGAGCATCCTTTTGCCACTGCTACATTTCTGTGTGTAATTGAACCCTTTGGGGGAAGTGTGTGTGTGTGTGTATGTGTGTGTGTGTGTGTGAGAGAGAGAGAGAGAGAGAGAGAGAGAGAGAGAGAAAGAAAGAGAAAGAGAAGTGGGGACTGACTTCTAGCATAATCACTTGTCCATGTCTACATTAGATCCATGTTAGTGTCTTCATTTTGCCATATATATATATATATATATATATATACACACATATACATATATATTCGTCTTCTTATTCTGTTGTAAGAGCCCTTTGTATATACTGGATAAGGAACAGAACTTTTCCAGATGAAAAAGGGACCTAGGGATGGAGGGAAAGTGGAAGGAGGAGAGGAAAAGGAGAAGTTAAAAGGATTAAGATGCAATATGTACAGGTATATGTACCGATTCCCACCGTGAATGTGTTCATTAGGTATTACAAACATGTACTAATAAAAAATATAAAAGAAAAATGTATTGTGAATATTTTCTCCTTAGCTGTGCCTTCATTGTTTATTTCATTAACAAAATCTTTCGAGGAAACAAGTTTTAAATTTTTGTAAAATCAAATCTATGAATTTTTTTTCATTTGTGCTGGTTCATGAGTCACTGGCCTTCCATAGCCTGAATCCTCCCCAGACCTCACACCTGTGGACGATGGACTGGGTCTGATCAGGGCCAGGGGTGTGGAATGACTTGTTCAGGGCTGTAGAGTGGTGAAGCCAGGCCTCAGCACCAAGCTCTGAGTGTGCCAAGTAAACACTTTAAATGTGTCCTCACACACAACCTCACAACCCCCACGCCATCAAGAGATGCAGTGGTCAAAGTCATTTGACTGAGAACATGTCCAGGTCCCTCTGACAACACAGCCCGTGTTTCTAGTCCTCACTCTGC